AGAAGCAACTCAGAACTAAGGAGAAAATTCCTGGCAGTTAGAACAATTAACCAGTGGAACAACTTGCCTCCAGAAGTTGTGAATGCTCCAACACTGCAAGTTTTTAAGAAGAGACTGGACAGTCACTTGTCTGAAATGGTATAGGATTTCCTGCCTGAGCAGGGGGTTGGACTAGATGACCTCCAAGGTCCCTTTTAACATTATTATTATTATTATGCTGACTGTTGAAGAATGGATTTTAACTGCCTTGATTAGGCAATGGACTAGACAGCTTTATAAGAGACTGGAAGTCATCTGTGGACTTTCTACGTGTTAAATACAATAACAGATGGTTAACAGGGGGATTTGAAGATTAGGATAACGTTTGGGTTAACCTATTGGCTTTTTCCCCTTTCTTTTTACATATATATTATGATATTGGGTCGATTTGATTGTTAGATACATAGATTCTCTCATCTGGAATATTTGTTTACGTAATATAGTATTTTGCTAAATAAGGATGGGAAAACTTATAACTATTTGTAGACCTGTTAATGTAAAGGGAGGAAAACCTATCAGTTTTTCAAAAATTCATCTTTCAGCATCCAGCCAGGTTGGCTACTTTATGTTCATCGTTAGATATATCTGACATTTGGGTTTTTTTTCTTTTTCCCTTCTTTTTTCTACACCTCAAATTTTCTTTCTTTATTTTCACTGTTAATGTTCTATGTTTTTTTCTTTTTCCTGTTTTGTATTTTATTCTTCTTAATAAATGAAAATAAATATGTTAAAAAAGAGAGAAAGATTCTGCTTGCTGCCTTTCTGCAAACACGATCTTTTCAAAGGTAGAAAGGCTTTTCCCAACACTTCACCCTTCGGAAAGTTATCCTTCAGAGTGAATAGCCTGTAGAATGTGTGGAATAAAAATGTTGACGTCTCCTCTGACGTAAAGACATCTGACATTTCTTAACTTGGTAGATCCCTTATCTTTCTCGCTGTTTGAGATCTTTTCCCCCAGTAAGTAGATATTTTGTGGTCCCCATGGTATTCTGGACCATATAGATCCATGTAACCTTGTATAGCTCTATGTAACCCTAATGTTAGTAATAGGTCAGTGGGAGGAGTTTCAAAGGGGCTTTGGGAGACTTCTTTGGACACAAGCCAGTTTGGAATGCCTTTGTCTGAGAAAAGCATGGCCCATCAGATGTCACCCGATGAGCCTGTACTGCTATAGAGATGGTATGAAGGGAGAGCTTCATCTTTTTACCGATAGAAATGAACAGGAGATGTAATATCAGAGGCATTCGTCATAAGGCAAGTAACCTATCTGATAATAAATATATTTCTTGTTATGAAATCATTTCTTGGAGTGTCTATCTGATTTGATTTATGGAACGTTTTAAATCAAGGTCAGAATAGTAAAAAGATGCTCAAAATTCATATCAACTTTATAAGGCAAACAGTAATTTGATGGGATTAATCTTCCTCTGATCCGCAAATTTAAAGAAGTAAAGCAAAGACTCTCTTGCATGTGAAAGTAACTTGATGTGACTGATTTCATCACCTGCAACAGTGAAGTCAGTGTGTCTGTT